TCTAGCCTCTTGAGTTTTCACACTGGACTATATACAGGAAACAAGCACATTTGCAAAGCCATACCACAAGCATGAGAGATTGGGCGGGTTCACTGTCTTGCCAAAGCCCTGAGTAGGTGTAATTCTGGGTGTGAGCACTCTGCAGGGAGAGGAAGTCACCTAGCTTCTCTTAAGCGCCTACTGTGTGTCAGTATTGCCCAGGACACATTGTCATCGCTATCCCTTTGATTTACCAGGCACTCTAGAAGTGAGAGCTTTGTTGGTGGGTCTTTATGAATAAACAGAAATTTGGAGTGGATAAACCACTCACTCGAGCAAATGGCAGACCCAAAATTATTCCTCTCTCTCTCTCTCTCTCTCTCTCTCTCTCTCTCTCTCTCTCTCTCTCTCTCTCTCCCTAGAAAGTGTGGTTTTTTTGTTTTTTGTTTTTTGTTTTTTGAGACAGGGTTTCTCTGTGTAGCTTTGCGCCTTTTCCTGGAACTCACTTGGTAGCCCAGGCTGGCCTCGAACTCACAGAGATCCGTCTGGCTCTGCCAAAAGTGTGGTTTTTAAACACTACACCAGGGTTTGGGGATTTAGCTCAGTGGTAGATCGCAAGGCCCTGGGTTCCGTCCTCAGCTCCGGTAAAAATAAATAAATAAACAAACACTACACCACACCCTGGGCTCTTTAGGCTTTGACTTTACTCTGAGGTCTCTCCATTCATGGTCCCAGAGAGCAACACCAAGGCAAGAGAGGGACCTCAGCTTTAAGTCCTAAGCAATCTCCAAAATGAGCCTCCGCGCTTCCCAGGACTGCCCTGTTCAGGAAGCTTCTAGATCTCCTTGAAGGACGGTCTCTCAGCCTCCATCTGAAGTCTCAGCCCTTGTCCTCTGGGCTCTTTTGAGAAGAGCTGCTATCCTGAGTTCCAAAGTCTAGGGACTCCGTGGGGTTCCTGTCTGTCAGCACAGGACCATTCAGAGGGATTGCTGTTATTGCCTGTTCCTGAGATCCAGGAAGAGCCTGTGCGTTTCCGCCCCTGTAGGAGGCTGGCATACGCTGATGAGATGGAAAATGTGTTATAGGACCATCTCCAGAGAGATACGGAAAACCTGGAGAGTCAGCCGAAGTGAAGACTGCCCCCGAAAGTTAGGCTGCGAGGGGATGGGTGGTGTCTGGTGATGAGTTTCTGGGCCTCTACCCTTTAGAGTCTGAAGCAAGAATCATGAAGGTCACCATGCACACACAAATACGGTTGGGTGGAGGCAGGAGGGGACAAGGGCCAAGGTGAGGACATCCTGTCCTGCCAAGCGTGACTTTCCAGACGGAAATTCAGAAGTCCTTGCCCTGAGCCCAGCTGTACCCCGTCTGGGATAAAAACAGTCTTTCCTCTTCCCCTCTCCCATCATTCTCATTCACTACCAACTTCCCCAGGGAAGACACATCCATCCTGGATGAACCTCCCTCACATATCCATCCATTTCCCTGGAGATGACTCTTTCGGGATGCCGGTTACTAAGACTCAAGTCAATTCTCAGATGTCCGTCTAGATTCCATGAGGTTTTGCCACTCAGGCCTGCCCCGGGGATCAGCGGCTTCCTAGGGCCTGCATTCAAGACGTCCATCTCATCACCCTGTCCACCATAGCAGGAGGAGGAGCCCAGCCCAAGGCATCCGCTCTCTCACAAGGTCCTGCTCTACCACTGTCCAGCTTGAGGAAGTACAGGTTAAATAGATGCATGACCACCTTTGGACCTCAGAAACCTCATCCTAGGAGGACGAGGAACTGGACGGGTGACTGCTGGTGGCCTCTTCAATACTTGACATCGTGCGCTAGATCTCCAAGGAGTATGCTCCTAGTGAGGTGGGCAGTGATGGCCAACAAACCAACAGAGGGGAGATCCACCAACCTAGCCAGCCTCCAGCAAAGGCATTTTGGAAAGGCTGCAGTACAGCCAGGGGGCCTGACCCTCCACACAGATGGGATCCTCAGCTGTCTGGCTCCCACCATAGCCCCTTGACGGTTGTTCCCAATGCCCCTTACCTGCCCAGCCTGGGAGCCTTCTGGCCCATTCACATGATGTTTGTGGCCTGGCTCGGCTGCCTGGACCCAGTCTCAGCTCCCTTGCCTTCGTACTCACCACCTGTCTCCTCGCGCCCACGTTCCACCCTGACTTCCTGCCTCCTTCTGAGGGCTCCGCAGCCAACCCAGCCCCAGCAACCCAACCACAAGCCTCTAGCACCCCAAGCTTCCTGCCGCCATAGCCCTAGACCCTTCGGCCTCTTGGGGTCCCAGACATCTCTAGGCCAGCCCCTACTCATACTGAGGGTGGCACTTAGAGGGGGGACGTTGAGGGGAGGTCCATGTGTGATGCCAAGGGTCCATAAGCCCAGCACTCTGGAGGTGGGGGCAGTAGTGGCTACACACACAGTTTCAGGCCAGCCTGAACCACATGAGTCCCTGTCTCACCAACAACAGTAATAATAATAATAAAAAACCAAGAAGAAGTTTCTGTTTTGTTTTGTTTTGTTTCTAAATGGAGGGTCTTATTGTGTAACTCTAACTGGCTTGGAACTTGCTATGTAGACCAGACCAGTGTGTCCTTGAACTCACAGAGATTACCTGCCTCTGCCTCCCCACTGCAAAGGAGTGGGTCATTATACCTGGCAAGAAAGGATGTCGGATGGAGCCCTACCTTCCTGTCCTCCACGATACACCTAGGTAAGAGATCCAAAGGGAGCCTCTGCCCCTCCGAGCTACATGTTCAGCTCACAGGGAAGGGAAATCGTGCTACAGTCACGCTGTGCAAGAACTAGGTGGCCTTTAATTTAGTCTGACAGCCAAAGGCATCTCTGTTCAGAGTTGAAGCCTAGACAATAACTCTGTGAAATGGTTGGTGACAGGGTTGCATGTATCACAGTAAAAACAGCAACCACAGTTGCTGACAGAGCAGTGTCCATGTCATCTCGGGGCACAGGACAACAGTTGTGTTAGAGTCACAGAGCAGGCCTCCTACAGGAGGAACACACGGACATCCCACGTCCTTAAGACTAGAGTGACAGGCTGGGACGTGGTGGCCCACAGCTTTAGTCCCAGCATTTGAGAGGCAGAGGCAGGCAGATCTCTGTGAGTTCCAGGCCAGCCTGGGCTACAGAGTGAGTTCCAGGACAGGCAGGGCTACATAAAAAAACCCTGTCTCAATATCTAGATAGATAGATAGATAGATAGATAGATAGATAGATAGATGGATGGATGGATGGATGGATGGATGGATGGATGGATGGATGGATAGATAGATAGATAGATAGATAGATAGATAGATAGATAGATAGATAGATAGATAGATGATTAACTGAAGAATATAGTAACATGCAGAAGTCAGGACAACATAGCTAAAGATCATAACTCAAGTAGAGGCAAGGCCACACCCCTGCCATAACACACAGCTTATCATGGGTAGAAGACAGAGCAAGCATATTGTCCAGGCAACAGACACCCTGGTATCCGCAGGAGGTAAGAGCTTTACAGCAAGCAGCAGGCAGCACAAAAATGGGGATGGTGCCCATCCTAGGCGGAGGGCCAGGACACCAGAGATAGGAGGAACCCCCAACGGCCCCTACCAGGGCCAAGAATGGGTCCTGACCTCACTGGAAGGAAAGTGTAAATGTGTCACCTCCCGAGCTAGGCTGAGTGAGCAGGTGGGGGAGGGGAGCCCACAGAGCATTGTTGGGGTTTGTGAGGCGGAAGTTGAAGCAGTATGCACCTCCGCTGCAGAGGGAAGGGGGAACAGGAAATGGGGGTGGGGGGAGGGAGGAAGCCTGAGTTGGAAAGTCAGACAAAGAGAGTAACACAGAAACAAAGGCTGAGAGACACAGAAGAAGAAGAAAAAAACCAAATAACCTCCCCAGCGACGGAGCTAACAGATGTGCTCCCCGGACCTGGTGCAGGGCCCAGCTCCCCTCACTTAGAACCTTAGCATTTCACAACTCACCTCAGCTTGTGTCTGGGGGAATGGTACTGAGAAGCAAGGGCTTTCCAAAGTAAGGAGCACCTAGCTGCCTGTGGAGTAAGAAGTAGCAGCTTATTTTTATTTATTTTTGGATCCTTGTTTGTTTCTTTGTTTGTTATTTTGTTTTATTGAGACAGGGTTTCTCTGTGTAGCCTTGGCTGTCCTGGAATTCTCTCTGTAGACCAGGCTGGTCTCAAACTCAGAGATCCGCCTGCCCCTGCCTCCAGAGTGCTGGGACTAAAGGCGTGCGCCACCACCGCCCTCCTGGCTATTTTGGGATTTTTTTAAGACAGGGTCTCTCTAGGTAGTCCTGGCTGGCCTGGAACTCATTATGTAGATCAGGAGGACCTTAAACTCATAGAGATCCTCCTGTCTCTGCCTCCTGAGTGCTGAGATTAAAGGCACATTATACTGGCTTGATCTCCCCATGGTCTAATAGAGAAGGGTGATTGCTTTTGAATAGAGAACTCTCAGATTCTACATCCTCCTAGCCCTCAATTTACCTAAATCACCTGCCATGAGAGTGACATAGATTTTAAGTTTAGGGTCTGGAGAGGTAACTGGGTAGTCAAGAGCACTTCCTCTTACAGAGGACCTGGGTTCAGTTCCTTGCATCCACATCAAGCACCTCACAACTGCCTGTAACTCCAGTGCCAGCTAACCCAATAATCTCTTCTGGCCTCTCTGGGCACATACACACAAAACTAAAAAAATGCAATAAATCTTTATAAGTTTTCCTCACTTCTGATTTGATAAGGTGGAGAAATAGAGCTGGAGCTATAGGGGAGACTGGGTGCCATCTACCCTCAGCAGAGTCTGTCTCCTGTTGTTAAGTCCCTGGTCCCAGTGGCACAGGGTAGACGTGCAACAATCGCCCTCAGCCTCAGTGAAGGACGCAGAAGAACTTCGAGGGGACGCAGTGGGTTTTTATTCAGAAATTTGGGGGCCTGAGTTCCCTCTTCTCCCCTCGCCCTGGGGCTTTTCCGAATTCAACTTTCGGAAACCTAAGCATGCCCTCTCCCCCAGCAGATGCCGGAGCCTCCGGGGCACCTCTTCCTTCTTCCCAGATAGTCCAGGAGACACCCAAGTGCCCTCAGCAGAGGGTGAAGCGCCTGGCACTGATGTTCATGCGCGTGAGTCCCAGATGCCGCAGTGGCGGGGCCAGAGCCAGGCCAGTCCCCGACTCCAGCTCCAGCTCCAGCTCCGCCTCATCCAGCAGCTCCTGGTGCAGGTGACAGACTTGGTCCACTTTCAGTCGGTGCAGCTGGGCCCGCAGCCTCAGCAGCTGCCCTGCTAGCTGCCGGTCCTGGGCACGCATCTCCTGCTGTGACCAAGAGGGGGCATAAGTGTGCTGGACCAGCCTCCAGCCCCACCAGCCATTGTTCCCTTCCTGTGAACACTCTGCCTAGAACAGCCCACGAGCCCCTTCTCAACTAATTTCATCCTTCCCCATCTCTCAGATCTTGTTCCAGACTGGTGGTTACCAGACCAAGCCAAGGACCCATTAGTACGCAAATACAGACATCTGTTCTGCCGTATTTGCATGCTGGGTTGACAGCCCATATAAGAGTTAAAACTCTTCCCTCCTAAGAATCTACCTGACGCCGCCGGAAGGTGGTGGCGCACGCCTTTAATCCCAGCACTTGGGAGGCAGAGCCAGGCGAATCTTTGTGAGTTCGAGCCTGGTCTACAAAGTGAGATCCAGGACAGGCTCCAAAGCTACACAGAGAAACCCTGTCTCGAAAAAAAAAAAAGAAAGAATCTACGTGATAACACAGTCAGAGTCGACTTTTTCCTTGGTTGTCTCTTCTCTCTACGTCAGTGTTCTCAACCTTCCTAACACTGCGACCCTTTAATACAGCTCCTCATGTGGTGACCCCCCCAACCAAAAATTATTTTCATTGCTACTTCGTAACTAACTTTGCTATGGATATGCAACCCTGTAAAAGGGTCATTCGACCCCCACAAACAGGTTTCGACCCACAGGTTGAGAACCCCTGCTCTAAGACATTTTAATGCAGAGTTGACTCTACATATAACACACAACTGAATTCCTGGCTCCTCTGTGCTCGGGCACAGCAGTGAGGAACTGCTTTGGAGAGTGGTCCGTTCTCACCTCCTCCCAGCCCCACAGACTTGGGTCTTTAAGAAGACTGGCTCAAAGACGCTGTGCAAGTCTGTCTAGCTCAATGGACTCACCAGCTCCCTTCTGAGCCACTGAAGCGCAGAATCCATGGAGTCAAAGCCACAGATGGCTCCAGGTCTCTCCGGCTCAGGTCTGGCTTGGACTCTGCACCAGGCCCGGCTCTGGACCCTGGCAGTCCACTCCAGGTATGAGGGTCGACGGGTCTGCAGCCGAAGCTTGGTGGTCAGTGCCTTCACAGAGTCTAAGCTCTCCTCCTCATCTTCCTCATCCTCACCTACTGCCTGGAACTTCAGTGGCTCTAGGGACATGGTAGGTCTGTGGAGGTCAATGGGGCAGTGAGGGAAAGGCCTTAGAAGAGGTGGAAGAGGTTGAGGGAGAAGAGTGTGCCAGGAATGTGAGGTGGTGAATGCAGACGGTGTGTAAGGGAGGCTAAGTGTGCCAGGGTGAGTGAGCAGATGTGTGTGTGAGGCTAAGTGTGCAAGGGATGGAATTTTCCTGGCTCGCTTACTGGGAGCCACGTGATGCCCATCCGGTTGGGGGCAGGAGGAGCTCTTCGGATGAATTTTATTGTCTTTGCCCAGAATCAGGTTCCCGGTTCCCAGAAAGGAAGTTGCAGCAGGATAAGAAAAGCATCATCCACAGTCGACTTGGCCCTCCTCCCAAGACCCAAGTCAAGGGAGTCAAGAGAGAGAGGAGGTTGACTAGCTCCCTCCTCTCTGTTCTGCCAGCTCTTCGGCAAGGGAGTGGGGTCTAGCTGACTAGCCTGGGAGTCATGAACCCTGGACACTGGGGCTGCTTTGATGGGACTTTGGATAGCTCACTGACTTCTCTGAGCCCCTGTTGGGACAGGTCCGTGATTCCAAGCCTGACTCTAAGGAGCCTTAGGTTCTGTTGGCAAACACTGAAAAGCTTCTGGCAGCTGAAGGAGTTGCCCAGAGCTGAAGGGCAGCGCTGTAGATGGCCGTCTGCCTCCCTGCCATTCACAGGGTTTCATTCAACCTCTCCCTCTCCCGACCCTTCTCCCCGTTCCCCTCATATCTCAAATGTAGCCATGGCTGGCCTAGAGCTCACTATATAGACCATGAGGGCCTTCAAATCACAGAACTTCGCCTGCGTCTGCGTCCCGAGTGCTGGGACCAAGGCATGGGCCTCCATGGCAGCCACAGTGCTGCCCAGTTCTCTTTAATCCTTTGTATTTCTGTCAGCAATGAGAGCTGGGCTGGGGTTTCACTCAGTAAAACCCTTCCTAGCATGCTCAAGGCTCTGGGTTTGCAGCAGCAATTAAAGAGAGAGAGAGAGAGAGAGAGAGAGAGAGAGAGAGAGAGAGAGAGACAGAAGCAATGCCAGGCATGGTAATAGCATAAGTGGATTTTGCCTGTTAGTGTATTCTCCAGTGCTCCTGTATATACTTACAGGACAAAAACCAACCAACCAAAAACTTAATGAAGACATGCATGGTGACACACGCCCATGCCCATAATCCCAGCACTTGGGAGGTAAAGACAGAAATTCATTCTCAGCTCCATGGTGGATTTGAACTCAGCTTGGAATACATGAGACCCTTGCTCAAAACCAAAACAAAGCAAGAAGGAGAAGAGGAAGAGGAGGAGAGGGGAGAAGATAAAAATAGAAAAAAATGTACATATCTAAATATGTAATTTGGAGCCAGGTGGAGGTGGTACACGCCTTTAATCCCAGCACCCTGGTGGCAGAGGCAGGTTCATCTCTGTGAGTTCGAGGCCAGCCTGGGCTACAGAGTGAGTTCCAGGAAGCCAGGGCTACACAGAGAAACCTTGTCTTGAAAAAGATTTAAAATAAATAAATATGTAATTTGTAAATTTTCCCAAATAAACAAGGAAGCAACACCTAGGTCAAATAATGCTTATCATTTCTGGGGAACTTCCTGGCTTGACATTTCTCACATTCCTCACCATGGGATAACAGTTCTTTTTTTTTCCAAACGAACACACACACACACACATACACACACAGTTTTTTTGGTTTTTTTTTTTTTTTTTAGACAGGGTCCTGGCTATCCTGGAACTTACTCTGTAGACCAGGCTGGCCCCAAACTCTCAGAGATCCGCCTATCTCTGCTGGGATCAAAGGCATGCACCACCACTGCCCAGCAATTCTTTTCTTTCTTTTTTTTTTTTTCTTTTTTGTTTGTTTTTCAAGACAGGGTTTCTCTGTGTAGCTTTGCGCCTTTCCTGGAACTCACTTGGTAGCCCAGGCTGGCCTCGAACTCACAGAGATCCACCTGGCTCTGCCTCCCGAGTGCTGGGATTAAAGGTGTGTGCCACCACCGCCAGGCAATTCTTTTTTTCTTTAAGCAGGATCTCACCCTAAACTGACCCAGAACTTATTCTGTAGCACAGACTGACTTCAAATTCACAGGGATCCTCCTGTCTCTGCCTCCAAATGCTAGGATTACATTTGTGACCCACCATGCCTGGCACTCCTTCCATTTCTTCCCCTCCCCCCACCCAATTGCTGGTGGAAACCCAGAGACTTGAGCTTGCTAGGTGTGAGGGACCGAAAACTACTTGACAACACAACTGCCATGACAGTCTTAGAGGCCCAGATACAGCTTCTGTGACTGGCAGGCAACACTTGGATCCAGGAAAAGCCATAAACTAACACCACCCAGAGATCCACCCAGGGATGAGCCAGCATCTAAGGGGAAGTACCAGACATTCCAAAATGTTCCAACTCTTGGATAAGATAAGATCACCAGATGTCCCTGAACCTAGCACACATCTATTTCCCTTTTACAGATACCCCTAGACAAATGTCAGTCAATCAGGGTCCCGAACCCTAGAAATCCCCTCACCCCAACCTCTGTTATGATAAAAACCCTACCACGCCTAGGCTCGGGGCTCTCTTCCCTAACTGCTGGGTCAGACAGGGAGTCCAAGCTCCGAGCTTGAAAACAAAGGCTCTTTGCTCTTATGTATGGGATTCGGTCTCCGAGGTGGTCTTTTGGGGGTCCCTGTGATGTGGGCATAACTCTAGGAAGGGTTTTACTGAGCGGCACCCCGTCCTACTCCCATTTCTGACAACATAAGCGGATTTTGCCATTTTGTATATTTTCCAGAGCTCCTCCAACTTTGGTGTGTGTCAGAGTCACCTGGGGGAAAATTCGTGTGCTAAAACAGATGGCTTCCCCTTCTCCAGTTTCAGATTCGGTATGAGTATGCGGGGCGGAGACTAATCTGCATGTCTATCAAATCTCCAATCTTGAAGCTTTTGCGGGTCTGGAATTTCATAGCCTGTTCTCTTCTGGGTTTTGGTTTTCACAGGGTCTCACTGTGCATCCAAGGCTGACCTCAAGCTCTGTGAGCCTCTTAAGTGTTGGCCATATAGGTGTGAAGCACCCAACCCAGCTGCACTCGGTACCGTCGCGCATGGCTGCTCCAGCTGTGTTTATGTTCCGGGGTAAGCAGCTGGGCGGCTCCCCAGCCCTCCCATAACTCTCCCTTATTCTCTTTCCTCCCTCCATTTGCTCCTCTCCTTCCGACTCACACTCTGCTTTCTACCGTCACATCCTATGTATGTGTGTGAGTTTAAATCTAGACCCCACATACTACGAGAGAAACACATAACATTTGTCTCAGTATGGATCATTTCACTTAACTGTATGATCTCCAGTTCCATCAATTTTCCTGAAAACATTGTAATTTCATGCTCTTTATCACTGAATAAAATCCAATTTTATTTTATTAAAAAATAAGAGCCGGGCAGTGGTGTCGCACGCCTTTAATCCCAGCACTCGGGAGGCAGAGGCAGGTGGATCTCTGTGAGTTCGAGGCCAGCCTGGTCTACAGAGCGAGATCCAGGAACGGCGCAAAGCTACACAGAGAAACCCTGTCTCGAAAAACAAACAAACAAACAAATAAATAAATAAAATTGTGCATATGTACCACACTTTCTTCGTCTGCTTGTCTGGTGATGAACTCTAGGATGATTCCAGACCCTGACTACAGTAACAAATGCAACATTAAACGTCATTGTATGAAATGAGGAGATGACTGCTCCAAGGTCGAGTTGAGGATTAGGTTTTGATTGTGGCTATGAGGGAGAGAACAGCCAGCGGCATCTGGAGGAGTCCAGAGCAGGGAGAGAAAGTCGTGACCTGAACATGGCCAGCAGAATGGACTGGGCTATGATGGGGGAGGGGAGGGGAGGAGACCCCAGAGAGCACATGGCAGACATGGCAGAGTTGTCCAGGAATGAAAGCTGTGGGGAGCGAACCCATGAACTGGAGAAGGTGGAGAGTGGGATGAGAAGAACTGAGAAGAGGCAGAATGCCAGCATGGACTCTGTAACAGGGATTTTCTATACCGAGAGAGCCAGGAGGCCAGCTAATAGGTACCACAGTTAGCCATTTCTTTTGGATCTGACAATTATGTGTGTGTGGGGGGGGAGCATGGATGTGCAGGTGTCTCCCTTATCTGCTGACTTAGAACCTCAGTTGTTTGTTGTTGGGTTTTTTTTTTTTTTTTTTTCCGAGACAGAGCTTCTATGTGTTATTTTGGTGCCTGTCCTGGACCTTGCTCTGTAGACGGGCTGGCCTCGAACTCAAAGAGATCTGCCTGGCTCTACTTCCCGAGTACTGGGATTAAAAGTGTGTGCCACCACTGCCCGGCTAAACTTTTTTTTTTTTTTTTTTTTTTTTTTTTTTTAAGGTTTTTCAAGACAGGGTCTCTGGCTGTCCTGGAACTTGTGCTGTAGACCAGGCTGTCCTCAAATTCAGTGTTCTCCTGGCTCTGCCTTCTGAGTGCTGGGATTAAAGGCTTGTGCCGCCGGGCGGTGGTGGCGCACGCCTTTAATCCCAGCACTCGGGAGGCAGAGCCAGGCGGATCTCTGTGAGTTCGAGGCCAGCCTGAGCTACCAAGTGAGTTCCAGGAAAGGCGCAAAGCTACACAGAGAAACCCTGTCTCGAAAAACCAAAAAAAAAAAAAACCAAAAAACAAAAAATAAATAAATAAAGGCCTGTGCCACCATCACCCAGCTGTAATTTATTACTTTACGTGTGTGGGTATGTTGCCTGTATTGCTTATTCACCATGTGTACACCTGGTGCCCACAGGCCAGAAGAGGATATTGGATTTCCTGGAACTGGCATTACATATAAATCGTTGTGAGCTGCCTGCCCTGTGGGTGTTAAGAATCGAACCCAATTTTAATCCCAGCATTTGGGAGGCAGAGGCAGGTGGATCTCCTAGTTCAAGGCCAGCCTGGTCTGCATAGTGAGTTCCAGGACAGCCCAGGCTACATAGTGAGACCCTATCTAAAACAACAACAACAACAACAAATAACAACAAGAATTGAACCCAAGGGCTAGAGAGATGGCTCAGTGGTTAAGAGCACTGGCTGCTCTTCCAGAGGTCCTGAGTTCAATTCCCAGCAACTACAAGGTGGCTCACAATCATGTATAATGGGATCGGATGCCCTCTTCTGGTATAAAGGTGTGCATGCAGATAGAGC